GTATCACACAAAGATACCAAGTAAATTTAAGCTCTAGGTATTTCTATAAAATGTTACTTTTTCAAATGAGGAAACCTCAGTCTCCCTTTATTTTTAGTCTTCAGCCTATTACAAAAGCATATCTTTCTAAGGAAAATGTGTGTATCTGTAGGACTTAAAAATTTGAAATCAATTTGCGATAACAGTATAATTTCCACCTTTCTCAAAGTTAGCCCCTTTTTTTCAGTTTATGTGACCAGCGAAGCAGTCAGATTAAGTATTTGACAGTGACTGTAAAGCTTAATGCCTCAAAACGATTGCATTTTGTTTTGAAAGGCTTCTCAACTACAATGCAGAGTTTCTTTGAAAACACAGACACACAACGTGTATCACAGCATGCTTCTGCACTACATGTATACTTGTTTCCGATTACAAAGTGAACTGAATAACCATCTCACAGTGTTCTAGTGAAGCTATGCATATTCATTATTTTGTCTACTAACATTTTTCTTAGACAGTATCCTGATACAATAGTCATGCTGCTGTAAGAGCACTGATCCAAAAACCCTTCACCAACTTTGAAGATAATAATACAGGCAACTTAACTTTTCTAATGCTCATAGTTTATTACAACTGTAGTCTTCTCAGCCTAACACAGCCTTTTTTCCACTAGGTGGTCTAATTAACTTTGAGTTCTTATCAACACACTCAGCTACTGAACAGTCACATACTAAACATGCAGATTTAACTTCAAGACTTCCATGTTGTTTAGCCACTGTAAAATATACTAAGATTGGCATTTCAAAAGTGCAAATAACCAATTTCAAAATAACATAGATTATTCCAACATGACTTGTAATTGCTTGGTGCAAGTGGTGTTTGCTTTCCTTTCTACATAATTATGCAAGCATGAGGAAGTCAATAACTGCCTCTGATCACTTGTTCAAACTGGAACATCAGGACAGAATTTAAGAAAATAATTTTTCATAATGCAAAAACAAATGACAGGGGAAAACCACCTCTTAAGACTTACCTGTTCTCCTACCTCCAGCACAAAAAATACTCTAATGGTATTCTTCCTTTATAAATCTCCATTCCTGCTGTAATTCAAATAGTTAACCAGAAAGTGAAAGGTCACTACATTCCATGACTGGTTTCCAGCCTGCATAAGAGCAATAGGACTTTCAGCTGACTTGTGCTCAAAGTTGGAAATTAGTGACTGAAAAGTTTACCAGATATTTCACTTTTGTCCTCTGCCATACTGGCAGAGAATACGAGCAACAGGCTGACTGGCTTTAAAGGAAAGCAGTTAGAGCATCAGTATGCACTAGTGATCTCTGTGAAGAGCTAGAGAGGTCACTAGGAAAGACTACTGAAACCAAAATGTAAATTCAGGATGAATTAAAAACAGAATAAAAATCCAGCATAAACTGTACACACAGCTTCCTTAATTTGTTAGCGTGGCAGCTTTGAGCAAGCACTCAGGAACATCTAGGGCTACCAAACAGAAATATCTACAACCATTAAATATTTTGTATTTTATGGACTGAAAAGCTTTAACATACAAATAGTGTCACAACATTTAAACAAGCATTTTAGATCACTTAATTCACAGTGCATTGCTCTAGCTTCTGGGACATCCACTATTTTTATCTCCAGTCAGCAGTGAACTTTCTAACTACAGTGGGTATACTACCCTCATTCACATATTTAAATAGCAAGCAAATGCCACGATACATATTCAAAATCTCAGAGGCTATTTACAATAGTTCTTGGTACAAATCATTGGTGAAACCGAATTTGTGTTTCTTTTTTTCTTTAAAAGCAGAGACTCTGCTTTCCTGGAGTTTATTTCCCAGCTTTGGGGAAAAAAATAAAAACAAGCTATAATAATGTTTTTATATATATTGCTACCTACTTAGTAGGTAGTAATTTGATGGCATGCAATTAGTTTTTAAATAATCAAACAGATTCTACATGCTTTCAAAGCATACTTAATGTGAAAATACCTTATGCAGAAGCTGCCCAAGTTAAACAAAAAAACTTCACTGCAACATACGAATTGTCGTAGCCATTATCTATACAACTGTATTAACTACTATCAGAGGTCATTCAACACAGGAAAAGCCTGATTTAGTAGAACATCACAATAACAAACACAATTATGTTAAGACTTGAATACTTCTTGTACAACATATTTCAAGATATTTCAAGACTGCCTTCAAGTGGTCTTTGCAGTCCACGGGAGGACTACTTAATAGGCTAAAGTTACTAATTTATACAAGGGACTTTATTTACTTGGATTAAGTTGGGTTACTGCTGGGAGAACAATTACATCAACAGCTTTGGAGGTGGTAATCTCTTAGCAGGCAGCACACCTCTCTTGTCTGAGAGGGTTCCGAAATGCAAGAGCATGAGTGACTTACAGCTTTCTATCAATACGCCTTGGCACTCTTCCTAAATATACCTCACTGTGTTTTACAAAGAATGATAAACATTCTATCCATACTACACAGATGGGAAAAATGAGTCAGTAAAGCTAAATGAGTTGTTCAAGTTCACCCAGAGAGACAAAGATACTGACAAGGAATCCAGTTCTAATGCTCTGTGCACCGGAATACACAACCCTCTGCACATGAAAGAATGACCAAGGCATAAATCAAAAACAGAGGCCTCAATCATGCAGTCAGCAGCAAGTCTGCAGTCAGCAGACTCAAAGTAAGACTAGGCCTTAAAGCATTAAATTCTCTACATGCTGAAGTGTCCTTGAGGCATACTCTTTCAATAACTTACAAAATAAATGCACACAGATATACAGTCATATTTAAACAGTATCTTGATCTAGTATAGTCAATGTTACCTTGTGGTGATACGATCAGAAAGCTAATAATTCTCTTAAGCACTCTCCCTTACTGCTTCTTATTGGACTAACTTGTATCCTTGTAAGCTTAGAAAATAAATTACAAATTTAAGCCAGGCAGAAAGACTGATGCACTGTATTACTCCTAAAATCTTAAAAAAACAGTCTTGGTTAGACTGTTGAATCTTAGAAATTTCTTTTGAGCTACAATTCTGTTAAAAGTTTCACTGTAATAACTAAAGCATCAGTGCAATGACTTACAGATTAACCTCACTTAACATTACAGGGCACAGTAAATAAAGCACTGGGGAGTTACCTCAAGCATATGTAAGTTTAACCCTACACACATACAAATTGCAAAAACTGCAGACTTAAACTTAGCATTTGAACACCCTGACAGAATTAATCCAGATTTTAAAAGTAAATAAAAATGCAATAGTAGCACAAACCTTTTTTTTTTAATATGGCTCTATTAACAGGTTTCTGTATTTGCTACTTGAAATTTAAGCATTTTTTATATGTTCAATTCAGGCTGAAGTGCGTCTCTATCACTATTTCACAGAACACTTTGTATTCCACTTGTGATTCGACCTCCTCATCCTCCCAACTGTCTATCTACATATTTATATGGCTCTATAACCACAGTATCTGAACCTAATCTCTATGGTAACTGTAAGATTTGTTTACATGGAAAAAGAATATTAGAAATGTATGCAAATTTAGCTGTCATTTAAATAAGTGGTTTTCCTTCTGGGGGAAAAAAGCTCCCTATACTGCCTCCTATTTCTCTTGCTTCCATCTCCTGTATCCCCACCAGGCAATGAGCCACATTTGGAAAGCTCCATATCATACTACTTCAACAGCCTGTTGTTGTAAATTCATAAATAGGTTACTTTTAATGAGAAAGATGTGTGCAGTATTTTAGATCTTAACACTTGTTAAAGAAAGATCAGAGGGAGGGCAATTAAAACATCATTTTTTTAAAAGATACTGTCATTAAGTCACCAAAGTAAAAAAAACATGCTAAACCTTTAACAGCTGTACAAAAAGACTTAGTTTGCTGCTCAGCAATTCAGATCAATCTAGAAATTAAAACAGTCCATATCATTTACCATTTCCAGCAGTGAATATAGTACTAGGTACACATTTTACATAATACTCATTCACGGACAGTAGGCACAACTCTGATAGTGCAAGAGCCCGCATACAGACTGCTCTTTTTTATTAATAAATACCAAAGAGATGATGTATCACAGGTTTGTAACAATTATTTTTTATAAGATTTACGGTATTTTGAAATGAGATTTACTGCAGCCCAGCAGGAGTGAGAGCTGAATTACATGGGGGTCATGGTAACATAAACAGCTGTTTGAGCGAGACATATCAGCAAAATGATTAAAAAAAAATAACAAACCCAATTGTTAAAAACTACTTTTAGGTACACTGATCTTTACCACACGCAGAAGAAATCATTCTATTCCACCAATCCGATTTTTTTTCTATAAAACTTGCATAACACATTGAAAATAAATAGTCTAGAAAGGCCTAAGAGAAGAAAAATGATTGACAATGAGGTATGTGAATACTATACAGCACTGAGAAGAAAATTAGAACCTGTTTGAAAATCTTTCTGTACCTTACAGCAATCACTTCACTGCAGAGAATCTCTTACATGCACCTTCCCTGATCATATCAAGATTATTCATTCAACAAAACTCCTATTAACAAATAGAAAGTAAGTAAATCTACCGTGTACCCTCTATTCAAGTAAACGCGGTTGTATAGCCAGCATTTCCCCTGCAACGTTACTTTCTCAAGCAGGGCGACTGTCCCCTGCTCCTCCATGAAGCAAGCTCAGCCCAGGCAGCCATGTCCTTATTCTCCTACAAACAATGTTTCTGAAGGAGAACAACCCCCCCACTCAGCGAACTTAACAGTTTTTCCCCCAGCGTAACGCGGCGGAGCAAAGCCTGCCCCACCATCGGCAAATGAGCTAAGGCACCGAAACACAGCAGCGGGGGCGAAGCAGCCCGCAGTCTGGATCTGCACCAGCACCGAGCCTCGCACCGGGGTCGGGACAGATGGACTGACAGATAGGACAGCATTTCTTCGTGCAACCCTCCCTTCCTTCCCCTCCCAGGCACACAGGCGAGTGTTTTACCTTCATGATGAGCTCAGGCTGCGGTAAAAGCCTCGATAGGGGCTGAGCGGCCGAGGCTGGACCTGGAATTTAAAACAAAGCGCTAAGGCACCGCACCAGCCGATCGCACCGAGCGGGGGGAGGGGAGGGAGGGATCGGGGTGGGGGCGCCGGGCTCCTCCCGAAACTCCCCCTTTCCTTCCCCGGATCCCCCCTTTCTCCCCGGTTAACCCCCTCCTCTCTTTCCTCGGCCGCTGCTTCCCCTCCAGCTCCCACACACCGCGGCTTCCCCTACACTCGCTGCCATTGACGCCATTTCTGTCAGAGGAGGAGAAACTTGCCACAACAACAACCCACCCCCAGCCTCCTCGGCTGCCGCGGGGCGGGGGGGGGGAGAGAGGCGTCCCCGGCTGCCTCCCCGGGGCGCTGCGCCCCCCTCCCCAGGCGCCAAGCGGCGGGAGGGGACCCGCGGGGGTCCCAGCCCTGGGTCCACTCCCCCTCCCCACTTTACCGCGGGGAGCCGGAGAGAGAGAAGAGGGAGAGAGGAGGAAGGGAGGCTCTTCCTCCATTGTAGAAGGAAGAGTGCCTGTGTGCGCGGCGGGGGAGCGGGTGTCGGTAGCAGCCCCCCCCGACACACACACACACACACACACACGCTTTTTTGTAGGGGCTGCGGCTCCGGATCGCGGCGGCTCCTCCTCTCC